GGCATTAGGAAGGGGTCTCTTCCGCCGCATTCATCCTTTTGTTGCAGATATCTGTCCTGCGCGTCAGCTCACAGATTTTTATCGTTATGAAAAGGCACTCTGCATAGATTGGCAGAGCTCATGCCGGTGACAGATAGCAGAGGGACAAATAAGCCGGTGACTCCAGCTTGCCGGTGTTTAACACATTTCCTCTGTCACAGCAGTGATAGCAGGTTCTATTGTCTGCGGTAATGGGCCAAAGGGAGCGAGAGTCACCATTGCGACATTGCCCAAAGTGGGGCCGCAGAGATCGTCTCGGGAGACTGCCGCCCCCTTTGTCCCGACGGGAAGCCGGTAGACAAGATGGTTATCCCCGCACTGTCCGAAAGTCACCATTGTCTATTAAATCCCCTAAATTGAATTTAAAAGAGTCTCAGATTACGTTAGAAAGTCTGCAGATGTCCTTGCAATGGACCAGGGTCCAGTGACCCATCGCCTAATTAAAATTCAAGCTGAAAAAGAGTGTACTTTGATCAAATTAAACTTTAATTAGCTCAGATAAACCCAAGCTACCTCCAAAACATTACCAACTGGAGGAATCGAGGACATTCTTCTGAAAAAAATTCGCTGGAGTATGTACAAAGGAGAATATTTCGGCACACTTAGCATAATGTTTTTGGAACAAGCATCAATAAGGACCATTTTACACACAAATCAGCATAAGGTGACTAACCTTTGGTACATTATCATTGTCCTCCCTTTTGCACAGACCGATGTCGAAGGTCATGCTGGCCAGAGGTACCTGCAAAAATCAAATTCCCCCAACCTTTTGAATCACTAGAGTCGGTGCTAAATAATTGATGTGGCCATTGAGACCGGTGGCGGTGGCAGTGATTTGATTTTGGAGCCAGTCTGAATGGGTTCAAGATCCTTAAGACACCCCGCGGAGGGCCAGTGAGAAATGTCAATCGCATCTCATCTACGGACGGGGGCTTCTCTGCTACACAGAGAGAGCGGCAATCTCCAGGCAATCTGCAGCAAGTTCACCATCCACATTTAATGAGACACACACACACACACACACAGAGACACACACACAGCCAGAGTGGTAGAACAAAGAGGCGGTCGGTTGTAGCTCTGACAAGTGTCAACTTCACTGCAACTGTGGCATGTAAGAGGATTTCCTTGATAATATGAAAGAGAACAGAATAAATGACAAAACTTGGATATTATCATCTAATTGACTGCCATGTTTGCATTACATATTTGCATGTTTGTGAAGCCAAAGTCTGTGCAAATTGTTATGGTGGTTACTGATTTGATTTGTAGCCATAACAACAACTGCGGCTTTTGTCAGTTCATTACTAAAAGTGTGTGCCCTATGTGCTGAAAGACTTTAAAATTACCTGTGTATTTATTCGCAATGAGCAAAGAGCAAAAACAGTCCAGGTTAAATGTTTTTCATCTGCTGTAGCGCAAAAGGCCCAATCTATTTGTTTTATTATCCCATCACATATGTTGAGAGTGTCGCACAAATTTATAAATCTAATGAAATGGAACAGACATGTTGTCTTGCAGATTTATTTCATGTTACTTTATGAAACTTCCATATGTTCTGCTGTGCATCTGACAAACTAGAATTGTCACGCTTGCACGGTTCATTTTTTGGCCGACATGATGAGTAACACCACCCTTGTAATTCTTTTCAGGTATTCAGTCAAATTCTGCACCAGCAGACGAGCCGTTCACAAACACCTGGGATTTGAGTGTTCTGACTGGTGGAGGCTAACTTAATTAGCTATAATTGGTGGAGTGGTTCTCATTTATAGTGACTGACAGCATCGATCTGTCTCAAAGGTAAGCTATCAGGCCTAATAAATAAAGGAAAAGAAACAAGTAGTCACATTCCAAATGAGCAGAAAAACGGCAACATGACACAATGTAAAAACGAGACACGCATCATATCTTATTGAGGAGCGAGTTTAATCCCCAGAAAGAGAGAGGCTAGATATCGATGTGCATGATATTAAATTTAAAAATCTTGGGACCTTAAATAATTTAAGCGTGAAAGATCACAGAGTATTTTATCTAGTCTCTGTATCAAAACTACATTACACAGGGCAAAAACTGTGACAGAGCCTCAAAAAGAGAACTTTACACTGTCTCACAGCAGAAATGTCACAACATGAGGGTTTGCGAGATGCTAGAGGGGTGTTACTGGTGCATGGATTCGCTCTCTAAAGATTTCAGCGAGGCATGTGCTCGCACATATGGTAGAATACACCGGATAGGACATTATGTGTAGCCGTGATAGAAAATCATGCATTTGTTAAGATCGCATTGTGTAAAAGCTATTGCGAGAATATCTGCATTTATTGTCAAAGCTGCAGCCTGGCAGTTTGCATGCATTATGGTTGTGCTGTATACAAAAAAAATAAAAAATACACTTCATCAGTAGCCTGAGGCTGTTTATTTGTTGCCTGAGGTATCGATACAGAGGTAACAGAGCTCATATCAAAGCCAAACTAAAAAAGTAATGCATACATGCTGAGCTATATTATTCATGTGGGTGACTTGAGTTTGAATTCGCCTTACAACATTTCCGGTCTTCTTTCTAGCATACTGTAAATGAAGAGTAGGCCAATGGCAAGTATATACAGTGGGTACGGAAAGTATTCAGACCCCCTTCAATTTGGTGCTGTGTGTACATTAATGAGGAAAAAAAATTAACTTAAATGATTTTAGCAAATGGCTGCAATATAACAAAGAGTGAAAAATTGAAGGGGGTCTGAATACTTTCCGTACCCACTGTATATTTTTCTTTGTCAAGAAAAAAATAAAATACAATAAAAAAAACTCTATTAGAAGAGATCAATGGCATCAAAATGCTGCTACACAGCCAACTGTACATCTGGTTCATTTGACAATAATACAAATTTCAACCTCAGAGCCAAAAGCAGATATTTGATTTGAAACAGCCCATGATACTCAGCTAGGCTTCAGTGTGCTTCTTCCACACGAAAAGCTTGGATGCATTTTGTCTGATTCCACAGTGCTCAGAAAAGCTCTAGGCAAAATACATGACCAGAGTAGGTTACTAGTTTGTTTCACGATTAAACCTCTGCGATGCTATCACCGAGCCTTGGGGATCTTTTAGCGAAGGATCGCCTCCGGAAATAATGTTTTGTCTGTCAAGATTAACCAGCGGAACACCTCTCGTCCAAATTCACCTTGAAAGCCCTGCGACTCTCGAGGAGAGTTCGAGGAGAATTCCACCTTTCCAGATCTCTTGCTCGCTCTGTGTCATCGGGCTTGAGCTTTGGGCCAGAGTGTGTTCCTTCCCCTTCAATACACCACATCTCAATGGCCATCTAAGTCATGCGCAAGAGCCCAGCTCTGAGCAATGACTAACAAATTTGTTGAAGAGTAAGTAATGTTAGGTTTGCTGACATTGGCAAGCCTTGCCACACGCTCAGACTGCAGAGAAAAGCTAAAGAAAATTATAAGCCTCACACAAATATCTTTGTTTTTCTTTTTTTTTATTGTATGCATTGAATCAATAGCACTATTTGAAGTTGTTTTTTTATGATACAAGATCCTTTCCTTTTTTAAAAGAAAAACAGCAGTCTGCTTGAGGTTAGATAGTCTTATCCTTACTCAGCAATATATATATATATATATATATATATATATAGTTCATTATTAGTCCATGATACCTAACTAATGTTAACCATTTGAACCATTTTGTAAAGTTTCCTTTGCATACATTACATTAATGTTGATGAAAAAAGCAGTCTGCTTGAGGTTAGATAGTCTTATCCTTACTCAGCACTTCCAGTCAAAATTTCTTTTGTTGGATTCTGTGATGTTAGGTGTTGCATCTTCTGCAGCTGCTCAATTTCTGTTTAACCAATAGGCAACACTTTACAAAGAGGTTCCCTACGTTAGAACTAGTTAATGCAATAACATTTATTATACTGGATTAGTGTTTCTACATAAACTAATGAATGTTTAACATTTCAGTTGTATAAATGAATCAGTTAAAATATTATGGATGAACCTGAAGAACAAAGGTAAATTAACCTAGATTAATAAATGCTGTGAAAAATGTAAAAAAAACCTGCATAAAGGATCTCCCCTCATTTCTTCATGCATATTTACACCAATAAGACACAGTGTTTCCTTTGCTTTTACCTTGTGTCACTTGATTAAGACCGACTGCCATTAATTCACCACCCTGTCTGTTTATCACCCGCAGGCCTTGTCTAAAAAGTGCTGTCCTAAATTGCCAGTTAGCAGATAAAGGTATTTTGTCATGGGGCAGGATTTGTAATTTCAAGGTATACTAAATTATAAAAATATTAAGGTATGTGAAAATTTCAAAAAGAAAAAAGAAGAAGAAGAAAATTAGCATGTGCATAAATGTGAACGCCTCAAGCTTTGCTCTGTAATAGAATCTTGGACTTTTCCTACATAAATTGAAGGATATAATTCAAATGAGCTGAAGCATTTTAAGGTCAAAGCAATATTAAATTCATGCAGCACTGACATAAATTGTCTGAGAAGAAAAAATAAACTATAAAGCACTTTATACCTGCATGTACTCAAATGCTGCAATATTACAGTATGTTTACACTCTCACAGACCAAAGAGAATGTATGTGTCAACTTGCATAAAAAGATTCATGGCTTTTGATGAAATTAGATTGAGATTTAGCCTCTTTAAGCACCTTTTCATCCATGTATAACATTTCCACATACACACAGCACAACTTTTACTGCCCCAGTCCAAAGGTGTGCCAATCTCACAGAGCTGAACTCTCAAAACTCTGACAATCACACATGAATTATGCTCTCTCCTTCTCTTTATATCTCCATTTTTCCCTTTCTTTCCTCCCATGCATCACACATTCGACTGTCCCCCTCCAAAACAGATAAGCGCAGAACGCAGAAAAAGCAAACCACAACCACGGAAATTCTCTACACGGTGCCGATCAGTAAAATTAGCATGACAATACTCACTGTGGGGAGAAGGGGGCAGTCGGAGCGTGGCAAGTCACTCTGTCCGACGAACCTGCACGGGTGGAAGAGCGGGAGAGAGAGAGAGAACAGTCAGCTGTGAAAGCACAGTTAAGAGAAAGGGAGGGGTGACGAAGAGTCGGCACATACAGAAAAACACAAGAAAAGAAACTGAAACACAGAGGAGAACAAGGATGAAGCCGAACGGTAGGAGAGAAATGGGGAGGCAGCAGAGGGAGGGAACATGTGATGAGGATAAAGGACACGTGGGAAGATGCTGTACTTTTAAAAGTTCGACACACGAATGGGAGAGTTTTCTTACTGTTATTCAGTCATGTGACACCACTGGGTGAACCAGATACCTTATTTAACCAAGCAGTTAGTGCATGATTGTTTACTGTAGCAACAGCACCAGGCAAATAATGAGCTTCATTGTGCTTTGCATGGCAATAAAACAAGTTTTTGCAGTTTTAATGATTTTTGGGAATGCATTAATAAAATCATTTACTTTTGTGGCATTATTTTCTCGCCCTCATGCTGTTCGAAACCCAAAGGTTGTTATACTATTTGTGGAACTCGAGAAAATACTTTAATGAATCTCCACACAGAAATGTTCCATACATCAACATGTTCATGGTGGCCACAAGCTGTTAAATGCCCCCCAAAAAAACATAAAAGGCATCCATTTGACTTGTGTGCTATATTAAGTTTTCTGAAGCCAGCTTCAGATAGCTTTGTGTGCTGAAAATAACAAAATGTAATCATTAATAACTGACTTTTCACTTCTGCTGCAGTTTTCAAATCAAATATGGCATCTATAGTGAAAGTTAAATGTCATATGGACCACTTTTATGGTGATGTTATTGTGTTTGAGAGTCTGAAATCGCTATTTTAGTATGTTTCACTGAAAAAAAATAGCAGCATATAAATATGGAACAACATGAGGTTGAGTAAAAAAATAACTGAATTTTTGTGTTTTGGTAAAATATTCCCTAAAGCGTTTTTTACAGGCTAGTGTTTGTCTTGAATATTTAAGTATGTGTTTCGACAGCTCGATCAGATCACTTTATCTCTGAACCGCCTTTGATAGAGAACTGATGATCAACCTCGCAACACTTCACTGTAAACCATCTTTTAGTCTCTCAGTTGTTGTCCAATCTCTCATTCTCTCTTTCTTTCCATACTTCTCTCTCAGGGGCATTTTTTCTGCGGAGGCAGTGCCACCACAAAAAGATTCTGATGAGCAATAATCAACTATACAATGAATAATGTATAAGCCACCCAAAGTAACACTGTCTAAGAGGTACAGTCACATTAACCAATTTTCTGTGATTTTTTTCGTGGGCAATTTTTTTTGTGAGATTTTCCCACACAGATTTTGCATCGGATTCAAGTTGGTCAAGCGAATTTGGCTCATTAACCAAAAAAAAAAAAAAAAACCTTGATTTTGCTTGGTTTGAAAGTGACTTCTGTGTGAGATGTGCTTCAAACATAGCTAAACTGTTGACAATGGACTTTGTTTTTGTTTTTGTTTTTTTTGCAACAAGGATACCAGTGGATAAAGTTTCATTGGGGAATGCAATGTCTCTTACTGTATGTCTCCCTTAAAGAACAGTGAAATACTTAAAGAAATCGCCTAGTCACATTAGAGAAGCCAGTGCCTCCAAGTCACTGTTACTGGTTGATTATGCTGACAATATGAACCCACCTATCTCGTTCGCAGGCAGTCCACAGATCGCAATAAACTGGTTAAATGACTAATTACAAAACTCACCCACTCACATCACCACTTTCAGTCACAACCAGATCAAAATGAACTTACAATAATGACCTGTGAGTAAGCTGATTCTAAGATTGTTATTACATCTGGATTTGATGACTAATGGATTGAAAGGAAGGCACAAATAAATCCAACTGTAAGTGGGAACAAATAAATGCTACTGTACAAGAAACATGATTTTGGCTTTATAATATTGTTATTTTTGAAGCAAAAAGCATAATAGTATGTTAATAGAAACACACTAAAACATTATATTTGTTGTGTGTTGCTTAATTCTGATCCATATGTCTTAAACCATAAAATCTGTGTAAAGATCAAATGGAACTGGAACATGAATTTCCATTGGACTAAAAAAAAACAAATGCAGAGAGGGACTTTCAGGAGTCCACAATGCAACACTCTTCCATCTGCTTCTCGATGTGTGTGTGTGTCTCTCTCTTCTTCTCTCAAGTGACAAAAGCAAGACCCCATTCCTAATCTGACCCCAAAACAGCAACGAAATCCCCCCGGCCTTATCATCCTCTGCCTGGGCTCTGTTCTCGCTCTTCTTTCATATCCCCTGCCTCTCTTTCTTTCTTTCTTTCATTCTCTCTCTCTCTCTGTCACTCTCCATTGCATCCTCTCTCCCCAGTATAACCTCTTCCTCTGTCTCCTTCTCTCTGTAAACGGCTTTCAGCCGAGCAGAGATTACCTAGACCATGCTCTTCAGAGCAGCTTCAAAAAGGGTGCTCTGGGCTGCCAGCCTGGATAACACCCCCCTCCTCCTTCCGCCCGAGTGGAGAGGGGGGAAAGTCACAGATAGAGTGGCTTGGAAAATGTTTGCAGAAGGGGGAAAAAAAAAAAACGGATGCTGAGGATTTCACACACTGGCTACGTTGACACAATGTTTGGGACTGACGAACATATTTACTACAGGTGTGATTTCTGAATTGTTCTGTTCACACAACAGCTATAAAAGCAGCTTGAATACTATCTATGTGAATGAGAATGAACAGTCGAAGTAACACTAAATTAACCAAATGTTTTTAAAATAAAATAAAAAAGGTTTTACAGTAGAATGCTGTAACTTGAATTAATGGTACATTTTATTACATTTACTATCCACAGGCCACTTCAGAAGGACTCCTAAGTGATGCTATTTAAAGCACGCTGAACTTTGCCAGCTTGCCAGTCTCACTTAGTTTTGATATGCACATGCTGAGCTGATGATTAGCTATTAGAAACAATCCCAAAACATGCTTGTTCTCCATTGACCTGCATTACAGTTTGACAACCTCAGTGCATTAACATGATGCATGCTTGATTTATTTGCTGTGAGATGCATCATATGAGATTCATAGAGAAAGTGCAAACTGTGAAATTGCTGTAATAATTGCACCTATGCAATTGTGTGGGAAAAACTGCTAGGTGGTATTTTCATGTCATGATGAAAGTTTACAGTTCAACTTAATTACTAGTAAATATAATCAAATGAATTACATGGCATGGCAATTACTATTAATAATAAAATATTACTATACAAGGGATAGTTCACAAAATATAGAACATTCTGTTATCAATTACTCATCTCCAAGTTGTTCCAAACCTGTAAGAGTTTCTTTCTTCAGTTAAACACAAAAGAAGATATTTTGAAAAATATTGGAGGTTGCAGTTGTTGAGAGGTTGCAGAAATTTTTGGTTAGCAACATTCTTCAAAATATCTTCTTTTGTGTTCAACAGAAGAAGAAAAAAAATCACACAGGTTGAGAACAACATAAAGGTAAGTAAATTATGACATCCCCTATAGTGTAATTCTTCATTCGTTCACTACATTTTTGAGGCCAAAACCACAGTTCAGAAAGTCTAATCCCTTTGTATTATTTGATGTGCAATCTTTGATGTGCATCCCTCCCTGTGTAAACCCAATGCCTTTTTCTCTGTCACCATGTCCAGCCTGTCTCCGTGTTATGTGAGACACACTCTCTGCCCTCTTGCTCCCCGAGAATGTCCAGTTAGAGGAAGGTCGGATCTGGTAGCCATGTGTGAGGCAGCCACTTATTCTGTTACCGTTGGCCGATCCGTCACGCTCCTCTCCAGCTTTCTTTATTTTATTCTTCCTCCCAAAGGGCAGTGGCTAACTCTATCACCGGGACAAATGACCCATCAGTGGCACCATTCATCAGCTGCCTTAGAATCACTCGCTCCGGCCGCAGTCCCACCCATCCACCCCCTGTGAAACAGGGCTGCCGCTCCCACCGGCTTCCCCACTGAATCTTACGTTGTGTGTGTTTGCACACACGTGGGCATGAAAGCAAAAATGAGAGAATGAGCCTTTGTGCGTGCAGCACTCGGCTAAACTGCATTATAAATCTCTCCCACAAGTAAAATAAACACATACACACACGCCATCCGAAATAGAACCACCTCCTTTACCAAACATATATATATAAGCTTTTGTCAAAGCCCTTTGTCTGTTTTTATTTGCTTGTCAGTGTTGTTGTCTTGTCTTATCCCTCAACAGCTATTCTGACGCCCCCACACCGTCCCAACACCTCCACCCGGGGTGAGAATCTTTACATAAGTGATGAGGAGGAGAGCAAATGAAATGACTGTAATTTGGTCAGGGGCACCGTGAACGTCCTGCCTAATAGAGGGGGCCGTCTTTCCCATTGCTCTGAGACGAGCTAGGTGGGTGCGTTCTTATTAATTAAGACAGTCTCATTATCGCCAGTCCAGGCGCTCGATGAGTGAGGGAAATCAGAATTAAAAAGTCAAGCAAACTGCAAAGGAAAAGACAGCTAAGACATGACAGATGGTCTTTCATCACGCAAGGCATTATCGAGAAAAAAATTAAATCGAAATAAATAAATAATGAGCTTACGGAGAGCAGAACTAGCACATTTTCTCCCTCCTCTTCTTAATTCTGAGCAATTAAAATATTTTTTTTCCTTCAATAGCGCAAAAAGCATATGGGGACATTACTCATTTGGTGCTTTTTTGCCAGTATAGTTTCCATGGCAACCTTGGAGCAAGAAACATGACTCTCTTTGCTGGTAGATACAGAGTCACTGGTGTAGCCTGTGGTTCTCGAGACATGAACTTTGACTTTTTCCAGCCTCAATTTAGCAGTGAATCTTGTTACGGTACAAAATATCAGACCTATCCTTCCTGGGAATCATCACACAAAATACCAAAACACAATACCACGAAACATATTATTATTATTGTGAATAATCGTGAGCGAAATTCTGCTTAACCATCATGCATATTTAATTTTTAATATGAAACATCTTTCA